TATTGTATTCGTCTCTCGCGGCTGGCAATACAGGAGTGCGTAACGAGATAATCTCGATTTTTAGTGAATTAGTCGATGCCGGAATATTGAAAAAAAATTCCTAATGTCTAACCACGAGATCGCGGCTGAACTTCACGGGGCGGCGAGAAGGACATATCCGCGACGTCGCGTCATGTAACGTCAAAGTCCGTGTTAGCGTGTACAAGGGTGTGTTCACCAAAGGATATCTACCCAATTGGTCTACGGAAATATTTACAATTATTAAAGTGAACCGGACCACGCCATATACATATATCTTACAAGATTATACGGGTGACCCTATAGCTGGTGGATTTTATGTGGAGGAGATTCGGAAAACGAGACCACCCGATGATTATCTAGTGGATAAAATAATTCGCACCAAAGGTCAGCGAGTATTCGTCCGCTGGTTAGGTTTTACCGACGAACATAACAGCTGGATTAATAAGTCAGATCTTAGAATATAAGTTCAGTTATCATCACATCATGGATGTGTTCGGTGGGTCACCGTCCAGTCAGTGGTCAGCGACATGAAAGAAAAGTTTTCCGAAGAACTCGACACCCACGTTGATTTGATTGGAATACATTGTTCAAAAATCGCGAAGCTTGATGAAAAGATAACCGATAAACTAGATTTACACACTAATTTAATCGAGACTAATGATAAACAATTACTTTCGTTCAACGATCGTGTCCTAGCGTGTGAATTGCAAATAGTTCAGCTAGGAAAAATCAGCTCGGTGCCGGTGACCGATAAATATTTTATAGAAAATAATAATAAAATTGATTCGTGATCGAGTCTATAGAGGATATAAATAAATAGATTAAAGATTCTAAAGTCTCATTGACTTATGCGTACGCCAGAATAATTATACTTGAGGACAGATTTGCAGAGAATTTGAAACAGTCAGTGAACTAACCTGTCACCGGAAAGACGCGTTATACATAACATATACTACGTATATACTCAGCAACTGTATTGCGCTCTCAGTGATTATGACGTCGGCTATCATAGATATTCAATGCATACTAAGTTCGAATAATAAATATCTAGTAAAAGAAATGTCGATTCTCGATGTAAACAACCGTGCTAGCCAACATTATATTTTCAAACACACTCAAACACCGTATACGGCGAAAAGCAAAGCGGTGAACATTTGGTTGTATCGTAACTATCACCAACTCTCATTGGATTGTGGTGACGTGGAATATTCGCAAATCGAAAGAATTTTACGATCGCTACATTTCAAGTGCATCTACGTCAAAGGCGAGGAGAAGCGTAAGATTATACAAGATTTCATTCCAGAAGTCGATGTCGTCGATTTGGGCGTGGATCACGACTGCCCACGATTAAATCAGCTGAATCGACTTTATATGTTATCTACCGACAATAATTACAATGATAATACTAATAATAATAATTATTATAATATTAACTATCCACACAATCGTGTTRAAAACTATGACCTAGGATCTCCATGCTGTATATATCATATGGACTTAGATCGCACACAATGTACATATCATAGAGTTCATGCATTACGCAGATGGCTTATGAATAGTTCGTAAAATAATATTTATTTTTTCTAATTTCATATATATTTATATTATAATGTTTAATTTATCTAAATAAT